AGTCTCGTCGACATTCAACTTGAGCCTTGCAAGACTCCATCCTACCGGACTCTCAACATCCACCTCGTCCCACTTCACCCCGCTTGCACCATCGCCGAGCACTCTGATCACCTCGTCCTCGTCAGGCTTGAGATGTTGCCATTCGCGCACCAGATCTTGTCGAGCGAGAGCGTCTAGATCGGGGAAAAGCGCGGGTGGGAATCGTAGAAGCAGCGTCGGAATGCAGTAAGAGGGACTTAGAAGGAAGGACGCCGGAACTGGGATGCGCAGCAAAGGGTGCTGCGTCGCTGGCTCCCATGGACGGGAGGGACTTGTCATGATTGCTGTGTGCGAGGTGCTGCCGGTGTCGCGAGTTTTGACGTGATTGGCGCCGGCCACTGACCGCTCAGGACCTGGATCGTTCCACTTGAGAGTCAGTCAGTGAGTCTTTCGAGTGGTGACAGGGTTTTCGACTGGTAGCTCCAGTCAAATGACGATGAAGCCAGCGTCGCAAGTGTAGCGAGGGCAGTTGCTAGTCAAGAGTGTGAAGTACGATCGAGTGTTGCCACGATCGAGCTGCGATTGCAGGCCATTTGCAAGTGTAGAGGCGCACGGCCACGAGAAGAAATGCGGTGCACGGACGCGCCTGCAGCCATTGCTAGCGCGATTGGCTCAGCTTTTTGGAAATCTGCGGGGCTGGCGTGCCAAACGTCACGAGTCTTGGCTGGAATCGCAGACGATGTACCGTATAGTGATTGATGAGCAAGACCTTCATCAACATCATGACCACGCATCTGCTTGATTCGCACATCGCATGTAGACAGCTTGCCCCGGTCTACAGCATCTGATCAAGTCAGGTCTTTTGGCACCCCTCCAACATATTCCTCGCCTGTCACCTGCATTACTACGGCCCCTTGGTGCCGACCGGCACCGCCCTCTTACGATCATGTCTCTCGCTACCGCACTCGACGTGGATGTGGCCGCGCTCACGAACAGTAGCAGCACCAACAACGCGCCAAGCGGCTCCGATGCTGCCACAAATGGCCGGAAAGACGCTTCAAAGTCCTCGAGCGTCACGTTGGAAC